AAAGGATAAGTGTGATCTTATTGAATTGTACAAAATTATAACACAATATAAAAATTAATGACAACAAGGGATTTTTTGGTCCACAATGGCCATCCTGTCCACCAAACTAAATTTTTCAAAAAAAACAACAACCTCAAAGACAACCCTTATCATTCAGATATTTATCAATTCAGTGAATAACTCAATTAATCAAAACAACTATTACCTGTGACCATCAATCAGTATCATGTAAAAAAAACTGATTAATTGAAATTATGATTAAATCAGTTAATGTAATGAAAATCAATTATTTTATTCAACTATCCAAAGAACCAAAATATTGCCATTTTTATTTTCAATTAGTTCAAAGTTGTTCAGCTTAATCAATTAATGTCATACCACACAAAAATAATCAACTAATTGAAATTAGTGTTCAATTGTACTGCTATTTTTGATTGGTTGAATGTAACTGATTATCAAATTCCACTAACTCTACAGTGTGTACAGCCAAGATATTTACAAAGCTAAATTACATTATTAACTAAAGCTAGGTGATTAACTCAAATAATTGATATAATTGATTACCTATATGCACTGATTACAATAATTAATGTCATGTAAAATAATCAATTCATTAAAATTATGCTTAAATCTATTATTGTTATAAAAATAACCAAAATGTCTGTTTATTACCATTTTTGATTATCTTAACTAATCGAAAATTGAAATATTGCTATTGTATTATGTGATTACGATTTTTTATTCAAGATTGCTTAGATTAACTGATTAATGTCACATCTCACAAAATAATCAATTAATCAAAATTAATTTTTCCAATTATCACTACGTGGAGGGGTTGTTATACAAGGAGAGGTTGAAATCTCTCAAACAGTTTTCTCTTGAAAAAAAAGGAGAGTTAGGGGGATATGATTGAGGTGTTTAAGATCGTAAAGGGAATTGGTAGTGTTAATGCATTATCTATTTTTTATATTTAACAGTGAGAATAGTAGGACTAGGGGACACAAGTATATATTTTGGTATGGTAGGAGTCATCTTCAGCTAAGACAGTTTTATTTTTCTAACATGGTAGTTGGCCTTTGGAATAGGTTGCCTTGAGATGTGAAGGCAGTAAATTTAAGTGAGTTTAACAGAAAGCTTGATAAGTATCTGAATAATAAGGGATGGTTTTAAGATTATTTATTAATTAATAGTTTTAGTTTAGAGGATGGAATAGATAAGATGGACCAATAGGTCACATGTTGTCCGAGTTCTATTATTAGCTAACTGATGGTTTGTTGAGGAATACACCAGTTGGCCTGCTGGTCTTTTGTTATCCTACTGCAGCCTTTTCATGACTGTACAGGTCCAGCATAAAAGTTTTTTACATCGAGGAAGCTTGAGTAAAGCACCCAAGGTGTGAGATGTGCTATAAGCATAAAACCATCTACAGGAGGCTAGGATTTGCCCCATTAAGTAAAATATTCTGTAAAAATGGTGGGTTAAACCATGGATTGCTCTGGCTCATAAAAAGTTGGAAGCAAAAAAAATTGGTAACCCCAGAATTCTGTCACCAATCTTCAAAACCAGAATCCAACTTAATCACTTTATTAGCTGTTGAACTACACTTACATAATTCACATGTATACAGATAAAATTAATTATCTGTGATTTTACCTGTAAAAACACTACAATGTAAATGAAATATTGACATTCAAATTTTACTGGCATCAAATATTGCCACAAAATTATTGGCAAGAGTGAAAAAAAATCACAGAATGTGATTCTGGTGAAGCCTAGATTGGCACCTGAAAATTAAGGTCAAGAAACTCTTTATGTTATACTATTTTTTGGCAGTAAGTTCCATACTAGTTTAAAACTAAGTAGCTAGAAGTTTAAACCAAACTATCTTGATTCTTCTATGCCATTTATCTGTTAAAAAAAGTATTATAAATATAAATTAACTTATTTATTACTATCACATATCATCACTGAAGCTTTCTTTGAATGACTAAATGTGCCTCCAGATTATCTTTCTTCAAGTGGTATTTGGTTATAAGTAATATACAAGACCATTCTGATCAAACATAATAAAAAAATCGACTAAATATTCTCAGTGAGCTTTCTCCACATCTTTCTTACTTTTGTTTTTTTTACTTCACACTTTTGACATAAATACCAGAGCCTTCTACAAATGAGTTTCATGTATTATACATATTGTTTTACTAACAGACCATTCCAAAGCACAATTTACAAAGCAATAGTATTAACACTGAAATGTTTGCTCAAAACTTGAAGATATTAGACCTAACAGGAACTAAGGTTTAAATTAAAAATAAATAATAGGAAAAAATATTTAGAATTAAAAATCACATTTTATGTAAAATTTTGTGTTAACTAATCTATTTTATAATAAAAAGTACAAAAAAACAAGTAAAAAATAAAAACTATGGAAAAATCAGAAAGAAATCATTTATTACATTGAGATCAATATTACATGATTTACATCCAATAAATTTTAGTTTCTTTAAGGGTAGCCATGCTCTGGTTAATGAGTATGGGAGGATCACAATCATGTGCTACTATAGCAATTGCTTTTGTAAGCGTTACATTTCTTGTCTGATAATAAAAAAAAAGTAAAAGAAATGTGTAGTGATAAACTTACACAGAGATATTTAATAAATGTATCCAACATTGTAAGCCTGGAAGATAAAATTAATTTAATATTGTAGCAGATGTGTACACTTCATTGCTATATAAAGTTATTACAAGTTTTACAACAGTAATGATATGATTTTTGAATTATGTAATAAATTAACATAATATTTTGGAACAACATGGGACCTACTAGTCCATTTTGGCTGTTCCAACCTCTAAACTAAACTAAAACTATTAATAAATAAATAAAAAAATCTTAAAGCCAGCCCTTATCATTCATATACTTATCAAACATTCTCTTAAACTCACTTAAATTTACTGCCTCTACAACATCCAAAGGCCAACCACCCTGTTAGAAAAATAAAACTGTCTTACCTGAAGATGACTCCTACCTTGCCAAAATATATACTTGTGTACCCTAGTCCTACTATTCTCACAGTTTAATATGAAAAAATATGATACATCAACACTATTAATTCCCTTTACAATCTTAAACACCTAAATCAGATCCTCATAAATCTTCTTTTCAAGAGAAATCAATTTGAGAGATCCTAATCTCTCCTCATGTGACAACCCTTCCATCTCAAGCACTATTCTAGTAACCCTCTGCTGAACCCTTTCCAACAATTCAATGTCCTTCCTGAGGTAAGGAGCCAGAGACTGAACACAGTACTCCAAATGTGGCCTAACCAGTGACCTATACAATGAAATGATAACCTCTTTAGACTTATTTGCCCCACCACTTGCAACACTTGGATGGCTTAAGAGACTGATCAACTGGAACGCCCAGGTTTTTTCTTCTATAACATTATAAAGGTTATTCCCATTATAATTATACTTTGCATTTATTATAATTAAAAGTCATCTGTCAGTTAATCTTCCAACTCAACAAATAATAATCCTTGTAGTGTAGCATCCTCCACCTCACAGCCAGCAACACTCAAAACTTTAATAACATAAGCAAATTTGTATAACATAGATCATTCCGTCACTTTGTCATTGACATAAATCAAAAAGAGCAAATGTCCTAAGACTGAGCTGTGAGGTACCCCACTTGTGACATTAATTGAGTTTCACTGAATTCCATTTGTAACCCTCTGTTTTCTTCCATCTAACTACTCTTCTATCCAATTTGCTAACCTATCTACCAGAAGATCTGCTAATATTTTACAATAATAATTATAATAAATAAGTCATAATTATGAGTAACAATGGATCCAATGATTTTCCTAAGCTTTAGTTTTCATAAGGATTTTGTAATTATAAACATAACATACAGATAACAAAGGACCATTTGATACTTCAAGAGTCCCTACACACCACTCAACAGATTGTTATGGAAATATATGAATAGAATAAGTGATAAATAACATATATTAAAATGTTTTCTTTTCATTTTTCCTTATATATATATATATATATATAACTATCTGTTTAATTACTTTATAAGCCATACACCACATTGAAACAGTTGCATGCAGTGCACTTTGTCCTCAAACTGGTTGTAGGTGAATAGTAACATAATTGTGAATGTGTGCAATTCATAGATTTGATGCATTAATGTGAATCATGACTTTTATTTATCTCAGCTTAATCCAGCATTTTAATTTTATTTACAAAGTGTAACAATTCAGTATCTGAAATCACTATTCTTTTGGGAGGTTTTTCAATTAACTTCTTACAAATTATTCGGTTGAAGGCTATGTAATAACAATATTAGTACCAATTTATGTACCATTTTCGAGTTTTTGTTGTTTTTCTGCCCGATTTCACTATCTCTTGACATATCATTCAGTACACAGGCATTGGTATATTGAAAAATACAACTATCATTTTATTTACAATTAAAAAGACAAAAATCTAATTTCAACATATAATATTTATGAAATAAGCATGATTTCAAATTAATTACAATGTTTAACACCCTAACTTCACGTAGTTTTATGTTAACATGCATCTTTAACCTTTAAGTCTACTTTAGTTAACTGTTTGTAGGCCTCAACATGAACACAACAGTAGTACTACTACTAGTACTAATAACGTTGATAATACTCCCTCTCTGTCTCAATGTATATATAAATAATGAAATTGAAAATAAATTAGACTGGCTATCGTATCCCAATACTAGCCTGTGTAGCCTATAACTAGTAATAACATTTCGAATATATGGCTTTATCTGCAAATGTGAGGGTGTAGTTAAATTTAGCTGACATTATAATTACTATAATACTAGTAATAATATTCGACATTCATGAACTTACTGAGTGAAGGTTGCGGTACACACACTATTTTATTTTCAGCTAACCTAATCTTCTATTCTAAATGAAACCTACGCAAATAAAAATATTTATATCTAATAAACTAACCTTTAATTCAGATCATTTCCGACGTTCCTCAAAATAATATGTCAGTAAATTAATATTACTATTAGCCAAAATATATGCGTATTAGGCTTAACTAATACTTAGTAAGTCATCTCACAAGTCACCAATAAATTACTAAACAACATTACACGAGATGGTAGCACATTCTGGTTTCTCGATTCATGATAATAATAATTACGGGAAATCAAATTAATATATTTAAAACAAAATACAATAGCACACATCAAATAGGATTATAAGTTTTATTACATAGAGTAATGTAATACATATTTTTTCGTACTTATTGGAGAAATTCTTATAATTTTTTCCAGTTACACTATGTTTCATCAGGACAAGTTCTCAAGACCATGGTGGCCTCTGCTTTTAAATTAAAGCAAGATGTTTCTGTTCATTCATTCGTTGTTACAAATATTGCACCTTCAAAAGTTATGGGTATTTCATTGTCTGTGGATTACTTGGCATATCTATTCTTAATTGTGTCATTTTCACCCTCTATCTGCTGAACACATTTGCTTTTATTGAACAAACAAATATGAAATAGGAGCAACTATCAAGATCAGAGTGAAAGTTGCAGAGAAAATCTGGAAGAAATAATGTACTAAATTAACCACGTAGAAAAAAGCGACGTTTCGAAAGACTTCCTTATGGTCCTTCAGTTCGACCCTTGTGTTGTGCAGGTGGTGATGTGTCGGATTCTTTTACTCATTCATCCAGTCCACTTTAATTAATCTAGGAACGTGTGCTTCTAATTGGAATTTCTATTTTGCTCTCCTCTAATGCAAGTATTTATTCTTCTACAACCACCAAGTCCAACTGTAACTTTCTTGTTTTACTCTTTTTCCCCTTTGACCATCGAAAGAGTAGAAGAATATTACCTCCTATGGATTATTTCTAGAGTACTTTATCTTGGAGGCTACGTATTTTAGCTTTGATGGAGTTGATATATTCATCCTCCTTTCACTGCGTCGTGTTCATTTGATCTCATGTGGATTATGGAGGTCTTTTTATCGCTCTTCATGTGCTATCCTCTCACAGAATTAATAGTATTCAGCACACTGTTTTGCATGTAGCCCCCAGTGGCACAACGATAAGTCTGCAGATTTATACGCTACAAACTTGGTTTCGATACTCGTGGTGGGCACAGCACAGGTAGCCCATTGTGTAGCTTTGTGTTTAACTACAAACAAATGAAGCTTTGCATATAATTTCTGGTGCTTTACCTTGTCCTCCTACTGCTACTCTTAATTTTTAATATTGTACCAGCCAAGCCTTATCTTGATCAACATCAAGATTTTCTCCACGGTTTGTTTCGATTTAGACTTTCAAGTTTATAGATCTTCTCTTTTTCAACCTAGTATCAAGTTCAGAAGCATGTTAATTTTCACTACTGGCGTTGCAGCATTCTTTCAATTCCGCTACGTTCTCTCTGCTGTTTTATTAAGAAATACAGGCAGAACCTTCAATAAGTTATCAATTTCTTTTATATTCGTTCATCAGCAATGTGGCCGTTGATTATTCCTTTATTAATCAATCACATGATAAATGTAGTCTTCCCTAACTTCTAAAATGTTTATCTGCTCTCTCAGATACTTTGTCCATATACATATATGTTTCCTTTCATGCACCTTTTATGCATATCGCGGGGAATATGTTAATGCTGACAGTAGATTACAAATGAAGGCTATAGTTGTTTCCATTTTTATATTTTTTAGAATTGTAAAAGTAGTCTCAAAACTTTATCATCCTTTTATGTCCCTTAATCAGCCTTGGTGAAGGAATGCCTTTCCATTCTCAAACACTTTAATTGCATTATTTTTTTGTTGACTGCCAGGATATATAGTAATTTCATGTTATGAATGTGTCGATAGACTTGTAAAGAATGCTTATCTTCATTCTTCATTGAGTTTTTCCCAACCATGAGTTTCTCAGAAGTTTGATTAAATACTTGCATTTTACCTGGCCTTCTCCATTGGCTTCTTCTTCTTCCAATAGACGTTTCACATTTCAAATTTTAACTTTTTTTCTCATCGTACCGTTTTGGTAACCCTCACAGGAGTCTTGGTGTTATATTTACCCATCTTCTCTTAGTACTTGCCGTTTGAATTTTACTTTGTATAAAATGCGTATTAATGACTCTCCCTTCTGCCAGTCATGTGATAGAACACCTGAAACTACTTGCAATGTTCTCCTTCAATGCCATAATTATTAGGCTCCTTGCCAAATCTTGCCTCAATCTTTAGCATTTACGGTATTCCCTTCCATTTAAAAGGTATTTTGTATGTGTATATCTTATCGACATACCACCAGTTGTCTGTAATTTCCGCAATACTTCGGTTTTAAGAGGTTTTATTGGTGGGCAGAGCACAGATACCCAATCATGTAGCTTTGTGTTTAATTCCAAACAAACGAACAGAAGAAAAAAAACGTAATAGCTTCTTAATGTTTAAGTTACAGAACTCTCTTTCATTAGTCCTTCCACTTACTTCCACTACATCTACCTCAAGTAGATTAAACTTGTGTAAACAGGCTTATCAGCCTGATAAACACCAGCATCATGTCTAAAAACAACAACTGATGCATTACTGATAACACGGCGAAACTAATCAACTGCAGAGTAACTAGCGAATCGAAGAATAGATTAGGCATCTACGTCATTCACAAATTCATTTTTCTTTAATAAAAATTACACAACTTAATAACAAGAATAAAGTTCATGATTAATTTATCAGCCAGTTTGCTGAATAATTAATTGTGACTGTATATATATAGTCACATGTTATTAAAATATGAATGATCCGCAGTTAAGTAATTTTAAAATTCAATAAATAATTAATATAAAGCATTTTCCCTTACACAGTTAAAATAGATTTATTACATATTTCAATGGTCTTCACTTATAAAACACCATCAGCACTGAAATTACGACGGTACGGTAAGTATTGGTTTTAAATAGAAATCTGTGTGTGTAAAGAGCAAACAGTACAACCGTCCGGTAATAAATTAGTTATTTTCACCACTACCTTCTACATGTTCCGACAAATCTACGCCATCTTCAGGGATGTTGTGCGAGACTAAAGTTTCAATGCTGCTGCACTTGTTATAAGTCAAGTGTTTTACGTTCTTTTCTTTTTAATTCAGTTGCCAAATTTTACAATAGGACCACGTTATGTCAATACAATACCTAGTTTGATCTTCAGTTTTTTAACTCTACCTATTATTTTGGCCCGGGATGGCCACCTCAGATAGCACATTTTAAAAGTTGCCGATCCATTGGATTAAGGTGGTGGTGCTGAGTAACATAAACATCACTCTAACAGTAAGGTGTACGTCAGTCAGGTGTGTAAGGTGTCCTGGGACGTTATCAAGGAAGACTAAGACGTTGGAAGCAATGTTAAAATTACGGCATTATTTCTCCAACTTGATACAGAAACAGTTAACAAACTAATCTTCAAACAGCTTCCCATTTATCCAAGCTTTTTTTTTTATCTTATCCCTATGAATTTATATAAGGATTTACACTTAATGTCACTATCGGCACTGCTACATAACAAGAGGGTTAGTATATCTTTAGCTGCCTTGAAGCCTGGAGCTTCCAATATAAGCTACTCTTGTCGGTATTAAAACTTTGTTTTGGCTTGTATCCCTCGGCTACCACTATAACTTTAAATTCATCTGGAAACCCAAAAATTATAATTTTGCAGTGTTAGCTTGATATTATATAAATTCTGGTGCTTCCTTAATTCTCTGAACTTGTCAAACCAGCTTTTAATATCAAAGAAAAGCTTGGCAGTTGAAGCCCATCCCCTTTTCTTTCTGTAGGTATTCATGAATTTCGAGACATTCGTAATGATGACGTAAGATTGGATAACTATCATCTGAGTCTGGTCTTCCACTCAGATCCCCAACATCTTTTCCATCTTCTCTAGCAACTGGTTTTTCACTCTTGACACTATCTTTACAGCTAGTGAAATTGACTGAGCCACAGAGCTTATAATGTTTTCTTCATTCTTTATTTTATTGTGTGTATGCTTTACTCATTCGTGTTAAATGTATGACCAAATGATGCAGCTGACTCCCCACACACAAGTCATCGAATTATTTCCAACTTGGTTTCTAGCACGAACATCTAACACAGCGGTATGTCTGCAGACTTACAACGCTAGAATCCGGGTTTCGATACCCGTGGTGTCCAGAGCTCAGATAGCCCATTGTGTAGCTTTGTGCTTAATTACAAACAAACAAACAAACATATTGCACAAGACCTCTTGAAAGCTCCCAGATGTGGCATTGTGCCCCCTGGCGAGAAATGGCTTGCTTAGCCAACAGTCTATTAGTCAAACCTGATACATGAAGCCTGCTTGTTTGTGGCATTTTTATCATGTTGAACTATGAGAAAACTTTCTCAACACAATCAGATGAACGAGGCAAGGCGAGAAGGTGATATATAATGTTGCTGAGAAGTCCAAACTTTCTTGCATTATTGTCACCTCTAACAGCCTGAAACTCTTTGAGGGGAAATCACTCATACGACTCAGGGAAGTTTTAGCATACAATAGTTCTCTTCACTTGTCA